GTTATCAGGACTGATTGTGAGGGTTGGAAATGTAAAGGTAGACGTTTTGTAACAGGGAGGGGAGTGATTAACTTTTCAGTCTAGGAGCAGAGGTCCCTGGGACCATCAAGGGAGAAGAACAGAGAGCGGGACTCTACCCAGAGAAGCAGTGATACCTGAAATGGAGCCAGAGATGATGACGTGGAGTGATGGAGCAGCTGAAGACTTTAGATCCAGAGAGGGAGAGCAACTGTGTGCTGAAGACCTGGAGGGTACGGGGGAAGGACTGCATGGAGGGGATTGTAACCATGGCAATGAGACGATAAACGATAGAATGAATGTAAAACTAATGTTCTCCCATGTAAACTAATTCACAATAAAACAGTAAAAATAAATAAATAAATAAAGGTCACTAGTCCTGGTGTGGAACCATGGGCTAATGTGCTAGACTGCAAAGTCAGTTTGAACCACAAGGTTGGTGGTTCAAGCTCACCAGCCGCTCCTTGAAAACCCTTAACAGGGTTGCTATGGGTTGGAACTGACTCGACGGCACTTCAACAACATTTGATGGAACGATGGAGTTGGCTGAGGAGTTGCTGGGGCCCTAGTGGCAGAGTGGGTTAAGGGGTGGGCTGCTAACCTATAAGGTCAGCGGTTCAAATCCACCAGCTGCTTCATGGGAGAAGATTCAACTATGTACTCCTGTAAAGATTTATGGCCTCAGAAACCCTCTGGAGCAGTTCTACGTGGTCCTATAGGGTCGCTGGAGTTGGAAACAACTCAGTGGCAGTGGGTTGAGGGTTTGGGAGGAGATGCTCTCAGATGTCGTAAACGAGATGGCAGGTACAGATGAGCCTTTTGACAAATTTGACTGTTCAAAGGGGACTATCGGATCAGAGAGGGAGATGGTCTACCTAAAATATAGGAAAGGGGAAGGATGTCCCGTGGGCAAGAGTTTGGCAACTCCGACCAAGAGAATTGGTACTTTGAATGAAGGACTTAAGTATCTTGTCTCCTGATGCTGAGAGCTGCATCAGGCCCTCCAAGAGGATGGCTTAGACTTCATTAAGGATTATCAGCTAGCATTTATGGGAAGGTCCTGTGAGGCGCCGTAGGGTAAGGACGAGACCGCAAGGTCGGTTTGAACTGTGAGGTCAGTGGTTCAAACCCACTAGATGCTCCTTGGAAGCCATATACAGGGTCACTATGAGTCAGAGCCAAGTCGACAGCACTTAACAAGAGCAATAGTGCTTATGGAAGGCACTGTGCTTTACAGCTGTGATTCCAATGATCTGATGAGAGAGGCAGTTAAGGAAGGGGTTAAGTCCAGGCAAGTTTCTATCCTGGGACTAACAGAGCCAAGACTAAACCACCAAAAGCTACAGTCTCTGATGTGTTGTCCAAGAATCGCCCACACCAGACTCCCTAAAGTGACTGCTGAAAATACAGATCCCTGTCCCAGACCCACTGAATTAGAATTTGGGGTGTGAGAACTTTGAATGCCCACCACAAACTAATTTTAAAGAAATCGCATCGTTATAAATGGTGACTAGATTGAAGTTGTCAAATACTTCACTTTGCTTGGATCTACAATCCATGCTCAAGAAAGCAGCTGTCAAGAAATCAAACAGATGAGGCAAATCTGTGGCAAAGGGTCTCTTTACAGTGTTAGAGCACAAAGATGCCACTTTGAGGATGAAGGTGTTTCTGACCCAAACCACGGTATTTTTAGTCGGCTCATTTGCATGTGAAAGCTGGACAATGAATAAGGATGACTGGAGAAGACTGGATGTGTTTTCATTACAGTGTGGGAGAAGAACACTTATGGCCTGTCAGAAGAACAAGCAAATCTCTCAGGGAAGAAGTACAGCCAAACTGCTAAGACTAAGTGAGCATGCTAAGACTCTGCCTCTCATATTCTGAATATGTGGTCAGGAGGGACCAGTCCTTGGAGAAGGACACTCTGCTTGGTAAAGCGGAAAGTCGGTGGAAAAAAGAGCAAAACTCCCAAGGACATGGACTAACACAGGGACAACATCAGTGGACTCAAACGTAGCAACTGTGAGGATGACGCGGGACCGGGTCACGCACAGGGTCGCTATGAGTCAGCACCTAACAAGAGCCACCACAAATAACAAAAACGAACCACCACTTGCGCTTGAAGGGCATGTTTACCAGGTGTGCCAGCTGTCATGTCATTGCCTCTAACCTCCAGAGCATCTTTCACTGTTTGCTTGTGATCCTGGCACAATTTTCCTGTGCCAACTGGCACAATGATAAGCTCTGTCAGTAGAGGGGAGGAAGGGGCTCTGCTTTCGGATTCTAGGATACAATCCCATCCACTGCTTGTGCCCGCATGCTCACTCACAGGAGGGAATTTTTCAGCCAGTCAGCAGCAGCAGCGTCTGGCATCTGCCAAATAGGTAGTGTCTCCTGGACCTCTATTCCCAGGGTGTCCTGTTAGTAAGAGACACCTCAGGAAATTTCCCCACAAGCCAGTGGGCATAGCTGCCCACTTTCAATCAATGTCTGGCTCTCAGGCCTGGGTGAGGCTCCTCTAAATCTCTCTTCCTTAGAAGCTTAGGTGGTGGGGGTTCTATCTGCTATTCCTGTATCCTTCCAAGCTGTCTTTACCCTTCTGTAGGTAATCCTGTTAGTATCAGTAACTCCATACATTGACCTTGAAGGAGCTCTGGTAGCTGGTACCGTAGTGGTTATGAATCAGGCTGCTAACCTCAAGGTCAGCAGTTTGAAACTACCAACTGTTCCGTGGAAGAAAGAGGACGCTTTCGGCTCCTGTAAAGATTTATAGTCTCAGAAACCCTATACAGGGTTGTTATGAGTCGG